TTGGATGTTCTGTCCCAGTTGGGCCCCTGATGACTGCACCCTCTAAGATACTACATGGAGCAGAAGAACCACGGAACCCAACCAGGCACAGAATTGTGAGACATAATAAAATAGAATTTATTTTAACTCACTGAATTTTAGGGTGGTTTGTTACACAGTAATAGACACTTAAAACAGCATATGGTTGGGTGCTTACTGCATACCAGGCACTGGAGGAGACCCTGGAAATGACACATCACTTTTGTGGCAAGTTTCAGGGCCTACGAGGAGCCTGTAACTCGCCCCATCCCGCCCTGCAGTCTGAGCCAGGCCTGGGAAGGAGCATGCAGCACCTGGAGCAGGTGTTGTGTCTCCAGAACAGGCATCAAGAGCAAGGAAAACGCTCTCGTAGCTGGGCGGAGCCAAGGGGGGCGGAGTCCCCAGCAGGGCATCCCCTGCGTCGTCACACTTCTGGCCTTCCTCCTTGGGGCACACAGTTGGTGCTGGGGGCCCCTCAGCCAGTGGACAGTGCGTGGCCTCCTCATAAGTAGGGATGGCAACCACCTTTGGGGTCCTACAGAAAGAAGAAATGCTGTTAGCCCAGGCCAGGACAGACCCTGCTGGGGGTGGGAGGTGGGGAAGGCTTCATGCCTCAGTCCAGATCTTTTTTTTTAAACCACGGGTTGAACCCCTGCCTGTTGTTTTGGTTGGGGGGTTCCCCCCACTTTTATGTTTTGAGATATGGCCTCACTAAATTGCTGAGGCTGGCTTTGAACTTGCAGTCCTCCTGCCCCAGCCTCCCGAGCTGCTGGGATGACAAGCCTGTGCCACCACACCAAGCTCACGGTCCATATCCGTGCAGCCCCTGCGTGCCCGTGAACACAGCTGACACTGGGCATGCGCAGCCTGCCCTCCTGCCACCTCAGGTCCTTCTGCCAGGAAAGGCTCTCCCCAGCGCTCTCCTCTGCTGCGCTGTCCCCGCTTGTCCTTTGAGGGTCCTCATGATATTTTCTGATGTGTCCCTCCCCAGGTTAAGCTCCCACTCCTGGCTCTGTCCTTATGGTGATCTTCCCTGTCACTGCACAGACAGTGCCCAGTTGTCCCAGGGCAGAGGGGGGCAGAGGGCATGAGTTCAGGGATGTCATTGGACCATTGAGCCATGCTCCATGAACAGGAAGACACGGACAGCTGACCGAAATATCCTTTGCAAAATCAGAGTTGCAAGGCTCAGGGCAGAGTGGGACTTCTGAGTGCTTGGGGCCTAGCTATGGCAGGCCTGCCCGGACATTACTTCTATGTGCCCACCTCCAGGAGTGGGAGTCGGCCACCTCCTGAGCCCACCATCTTTCCCTGTAAGGCTTAGCTTTTGTGAGCCTGTTCCCCACCCCCACTCGGAGCCACTGAACCACGACGCTCAGGGACTTGAGACAAAGACCAGGTCCTCTGAAGCTCTGCAGGCCAGGTTCCAAGAACAAGCCACACCAACACTGGCAGGACTGAGACTGGCTCTTGCCTCTCAGCACCCTGGTGGGTAGCTCATCTCCAAGGGTCAGGTGCCTCCCTGCCCAGGCCTGCGGGGTGGGAGGGTCACTGGTCTGTAGCCAGGCTGCTACAGCTTTGGGGGACACTGACAGATACGGGACTGACTAGGTGATCTTGAAAGTCACTCCTGACACCGAGTCCCTCAGCTGGTCCTGATTCTGAGCACCGGCTGGTTCATCCACGGCTCTGCCACGGTTTGGGTGGGAGATCCTGGCTCAGTAACTCCATTACTCAGGACCTCATTTTCCCCATCTGTCAAATGGGGACAATAAAGGCATCTACCTCGTCAGATAGTGTGAAAACGAAGTCAGATGATGCAAGAAGTCATGTAGCACATGCTGCACCAATAGGGGCCATTCATATGTCAAAGGGATTCAAGGAGCAGTGGGGCCAGGACCTCTCATCAGAAAGGCCAAGGAGCTTGTCCTCGGTAAGCATGGAGCTGGCTGGGGAATCAATTTCCCCCTCACCAGTGGTCTTGCTGTGGAGACCAGGGAGGGGCCAGTAGCAGGAGGCCAGCAAAGGGGACAGAAGAGGCAGGGGATGGGATTACACACCAGGGACCTGTGCTGGGAACTGGCTGCTGCCTCCTCCAGGAAGCACCCAGCACCTGCAGGGGACACAGCCTTCTCAGGTACGGGGTCTTCTTGGCTCAAGCCACCAGGGAAGCAGGCTCACTGCTCCGCATCACAGACCAGGGTGACAGAGCAGGTTGATGGAAACCTGGATTTGAACGCAGCCGGGGTGGTAGTAGAACACAGGACATCAGCCAGGAGCCCTGCTGAGGAAGCCAGCAGGGCCCTCGCCCTCTCTGAGCACCCAGAGGTCTTTGCAGGAGAGGGCAAGACAGAGAATAGTGCTCCTGGTGTCAGGCAAGCTGAGTTCTCTTGCTATGTGACCTGCTCCCCGCACACACAGTCTCTGAACCCTTTTCTCCTCCATATAAAATGGGATAATAATTCCCATGGCACAGATGCAGGGAAGGAAAAATGCGGAGAAGCTTTGTCAGCCCTCAGAAAAATGTAAGTAGTGGGGTTTCCAGAGCCCCCACATCTCCTGGCCTGTTCACCTTCTGGTCATTGCCTGCCCTCTCCCAGTTAGTTAAGCCCTGAGGGGGACAGCTGGCAGGGCAGGGCCCAGGGGCCCTGTGAGCTCAGCCTACAGCAGGAAGTTTGCTTACAGGGCAGATGTGGAGTGGCCCTAAACACCACCTCCTGTCACCTCGGTGGCCAGCTGGACCCACCAGCACTTAATCTCCAAGGTCATGGTCCATAATTGCCAGGAACGTGGGGAACACAGGCCCTGCACAGGGCAGCCAAGTCACACACCCTGGGGCAGGCTCCATTCATGGTCTGTGTATTCTGGATCCAGCGACCCAGCACTCGCTGGGGCAGCCCTGCCACAACAATCCCCAGGCACAGAAGGCTCCATGGAGGCCGGGACTTGCCTGAAGCCTGGTCAGGGCAGGAGACCTGGGGCTTAGCACTAAGTGGGATACCATTTGCCTAACACTTGAGCTCTGCAATCTCATTTCACATTCATGACCACTGGAGGGAGGGACAGCATCCACCCCTTCATAAGTGAGTCATACTCACACATCAACCAGGTGGCAAAGTCCCCACCTTGCCTGACTGCAAAGCCGGAGCTAACCCCACAGTGTCACCCTTCTCTCCCAAGTCAACCCATCTCTCCACACCTCAGCCCTCTCTTCTGTAAAATGGGCCTAATCCCTACACACACCTCAGAGGCAGCTGAGGCTCCAGTCAGTGAGTGGGCACGAGAGAACACTGCCAGCTGTGAGCACGGTCACAGCAGGGAAAGCCAGAGTGTACACGAGCCTTACAGCATACACCACCCCATCACTCAGCGCATCTGAGTCTCACGGCAGTCTAGGGACCAGGTCTGTCACCCCTAGCTGACAGATGAAGAATCAGACAGAACCCAGAAAATCGGTTAATGTTCATAGACATGCAGTTTACAAAAGAAGGAGCAGGGACTAAAACACTTGGCTTCCGAGTAGCCCTGGGCCTTTTGCTGTGCCCACTGCAGATGGGGCCCCTGGAAGGCCCCATGTACCACCTTGTGGAGGGGGCTTACATGTCCTCTGTGAGCCCCTAAAGACAGGGGTTTTGTCTGTCTTGTCCACTGCTACATCATCAGCCCTCAGAATAGGACCCAGCACACAGTAGGTGTTCCATACACATTAGTTAAATGCAGGAAAGAATAAGTGGGTGAGAAGTGGGGAAACTGAGGCACCACAGGGGAATGAACCTGCCCAGACCAAGGAGGCCTGTGTCTCTGACCCAAAGGTACCCACAGCCGGGCACCGGCAGAGATCGAGGTCCCTGGAGACAGGCACAACCCGATAGCCAGCTGCTGGCTCCCCAGGCTGCAGAGCTGGGCTGGCCACCGCAGGGACGGAAAGGAACACACTAGCAGGAGAGCCTCCTCGACACGCAGCCAGCCCAGCCTCAGGATCTGACACTCGGATGTCAGAGCCTGCTGGCCAGGAGCCTTCCGCAGCCTCCTGGTGGGTGTCCAGTCTGCTCAGAATGAAGGCTAAAAGGTGCAGCCGTGGCCTGGACCCTGTTGCCTCAACACAGCTGTGTGTACAGAAAACACCCGCTCCCTGCCTGTGCCTGTCCAGAGTGCCAACGTCTGGCCTGGCTCCTCGTCCCATAGTCACTAGGTCCCTCTGAGTCTCATCTGAGAAGTACAGGGTTTGGCTGGGTGGTCCCCAAGGCCATAGCTCTCCCTCTAACAGTCGGCCCCACCCACGGGCTGACTCCTGGGCTCAATGGCTGTGCTGAGTGCTGTCTGGCCAGAGCAGGAACAAGCACATTCATCTGCCCTCTAACAAAGGGAAGAGGGGAGGCTCACAGGAATCTGGGTGAGCCCCTGCTGTGCCCAAGTCCAGCGCTGCTGGATGGCATGGAGGGGGGACAAGCTTTGCAGCCAGCAGGCTCCCACCACTTTCAAGTTGTGCCTTGCAAATGGCAACAGTAATTCTTATCCTGGGCGCCCTAGATGGACAGAAGGACCAAAGGACAGATGATGCAGCCAGGCCCCTGAGGTGTGGCACACCAGGTCGGTCGTTTGTTGAATAAATAAGGACATTAAGAAGGGCATGCGTCCCTCAGGCAGGCTCACCAGGGCAAAACTGGTTCTGGGGCTGGGTGATGTTCCTTTTAGGAAGAGAGCACAGACGTAGACACAGGATACACACAGAGAGGCCTCACGTCTGTGGGAGTCAAATTTCATGGAGAAGTAAGGAAAAAATGTCCCAAAAGGCCAGAATGACAGCAATCATGGCACAACCAGAGGAGAAATTCATGCGGCATCTGTCTCCACCCTGCCCTGGGCCCTTGCACATACCTGTCCCCTTGAGGGAAAGTTGACATTTCCTGTGCACCTACTGTGTGCCGGGCACTGGGCTACACTCTACGTAGACATCACATCATTTCATTTCACAAGGAGTGTGGGGAGGCTGCCTGTGTTCAAGTCCCAGTTCTGAGACACACTAGCTGGATGTTCCCGAGCAAGTTACTTAATGACTTGGTGCCTGGGTTTCCTCTTCTATGGAATGCAGTTAAAAACAGTAGCTGGGGGCTGAGGCTGTGGCTCAGGGGTAAAGCACTTGCCTAGCATGTGTGAGGCACTGGGTTTGATTCTCAGCACCACGTATAAGTAAATAATAAAATAAAGGTCTACACATCTAAAAAAAAATTTAAAAAAAAAAAAACAGTAGCTGACTGGGTGCAGAAGTGTGCTCCTGTAATCCTAGCAGCTTGGGAGGCTGAGGCAGGAGGATCATAAATTCAAGGCTAGTCTCAGCCACTTAGCAAGGCCCTAACCAAATTAGCAAGATCCTGTCTCAAAATAAAAAATAAATTAAAATGAGATGGGGATGTGGCTCAGTAGTTAAGTGCCCCTGGGTTCAATTCCCCGCTACCAAAAAAATAAAAATAGCAGTCGCTGCTTCAGAGGGCCACCATGAGGACTAACGGTGTCACCATAAATAGCGGCAAATGGCAGGTGCCAAGCAGGCACGTGCTATTATTGTTGTTGCCATTACTATAAATTCAGATGAAGAAGCTGAGGCTTATGGAGCAAGGGTGTGAGTGACTTGAAGTCCCTCAGCTAGTTAGTGATAGAACTGGGACAGGATCCCGGTGGACCTGAATCCTTCCTGTGCCTGAGCTCTAAACTCCTCTGCTATGCCACTGAGCTCACCTCTTCCTGGAAGCCTGCCTGGATTTCTCCACGTCCCCAGAGGACGTGTCTGTCTCTCTCTCACACAGCTATAACTACTCTGGCTTGTCATCTGCTGAAGGGGCTTTAAACTCCTTCAGGTCAGTACAGACCCACTGATCAACCTGGGACACAGGGAAGGGCCTGGTCCAGAGAAAGAGCCTCAGGAGAACTTACTGAGAAAATGCTGAATAGTGTGACTATGACCAGTCGCTTAAGGTGCCCACCCCGCCCCACTGACCTGCAGTTCTCCTCCTCCGAGGTCTCCACAGTGAGGTAGTACAGGTCTCTGGAGAAGCGGTATGGGTCCCACCGGGGTGGCCCCCGCCTGCTGGCCTTGAAGGACCACAGCAGGCCGCAGAGCAGCAGCAGGCCACCTGCTCCACAGCAGAAGAAGCTGACAGACCTGAGCAGGGGTCTAGGGGCCTGGGACACGGCGTGCTCAGCAGGTGGGACCCGCTGGTCAGGCTGGGCACCTGCATCCCCTTCACTCCACCAAGCGAAGCAGAGCGTCCCGGCCACCAGAAACACCATGCCGCCGATCGTCATGCAATAGCGAAGGGTGGAGGCCACTCGGCCCCTGTCACAGGTCTGGACAGAAAGACAGAAAAGGAAATGGGCGTGTGAGAGGCAACCAGGGACCTGGGTTTTAGTCCTCCTCTGCCGAAGGTCACTGTGCAGCCTTGGAGAGCTCATCAGGCTCCTCCGGGTCTCAGTGTCCTTGCCTGTGAAATGGGGATGCTGCCCTGACTTTGCAGGGCTACTTTGAGGGTCACAGATAATGTTTATCAGGTTCCTAGAGCTGTGCCTGGGACACAGTAGGAGCCCAGTAAGAGAGCCACACACACTCTGTGCCTCTCAAGGGCTTCATGGCCTGGTGGGCATAAGGCTCCCCAACATGATGACCTTATGGACAAATGGGAGGGTGGAGAGTGTGCACCTGCTGGGTCCCCTGGCCTGCCAGGACTAGGACTTGCTGGTTAGGCTCTGCCTTATCTTATCTGGTTACAAGGCCGTGAGGTCCTACTGTTATCTCCACTTGACAGGGGATGACACGAAGACCCAGGACAAGCATAAAAAAGTTTGAAAATCACTATATGGAGCAAGACTTTGTACAAAAGGACACTCACCATGGCTTGTTTATGCTGGTCATAAAGAGCCTAAAATGTCCACTATAACAATATGGTCAGTGAACAATGGTATAATCTCTAGATGCAATAATTAATAATAACCTATTAAAAAGCCAAGCTTGGCCACATGTGAGCAGAAGGGACCTACTCACAACACCTACTTCTCCAATGTCACTGAAAAACAATGTCACTGTGGAGAACCCCCACAAGCAAAGCAGAACTCCTTCCCTGCATGTCATGGTGATTGACAGTTCTCTTCTCCCCCAGCGCCTCATCTGCCTGAGGGAGACGGACTCAGGGAGACAGGGACAGAGACCCTGAGTAGACGGAGACCCGGGTCCATGGCCAGCCATGCTTGTCCCTCCCCTTAGATGGAAAACACCTCCAGTGTGTGCCTGTAATGGATCAACTAGAACAAAAACATAATTAATTTAAGTGTCACCAGATTCAAAGACTTATACAATGTGCCCACAAATGATTTATGGTTAAACTGCTTGACCAAAGAGAAACACTCTGAACCCCAAATATAGAATGATTATCATGGGTCTTGCTTTTCAAAGAAGCTTGCCTGAGAACCTGCATATTTCTTCCCAGGAAAATCACATTCATAATCACAGAGATCAGCCCCGGGCACATCGCCTATCTCCTCTTCTCCGAGAGGCGAAGGCGCCCACACCGTCTTTGGGTATAGACACTTTGCTGTCTTTAAATAAATCTTTGCTTGTGCCTTGCTTTTGATGAGTCTGAATTCTCAGTGGTTAAGTCAAGAACCTGCCCAGGCTGAGTGGAGATTCCATTCTCCTGTTTGGAGGGTCCTCCCCAGAATCCCTGTCTGGTGACATGACTCCCCTCAACCAAGGCAGGTGGACAGGACAGGCAAACATTCCCACTTTACAAATTAACAGATTCAGCTCAAGAAGGTGAAGGACCTTCTTGATACAGCCAGATGCAGCCTGGTTCTCACACCTGAGCACACCTGCATGAGGTCACCTTTGATGCTTTTTTTACTTTCTAGGAAAACAATAGTTGCTCAATGTGAAGGGAAGCAAAATGCAAACTAGCATGAATCCTGCCCTCAAGAGGAGCATGGTCTGGTACAGAGGTTTTCTATCCTGCAGTTTCCTGGCCTGTGTACATAATGACAGGGGCAGCAGAGGTGAGCTGGGCACCACACCAAGCACTTTATGGGTGTCCCCTCACTTAATGACTTCAACAGTGTTATGTCCCAGGAACACTGGGGCCCAGTATCTGATTCAAATCCCTTTGTGGATACACAGCTATGTCCATGTATTTGCTAAATGGCGGCAGGTGAAACCATGCCATAAGTATTTGTAAGCCTCGGACATGGGTGACGCTCTGCCCTCCTTCCTGCTCACCTCCTCAAAGGCCTGCAATCACCCCGAGTGTGCTCTCACATAGAGTGTGGCAATCCGCTTGTGTGGGTCTCCCTCCCTCCCAGTGGATCCCCATGGCAGGCA